TTATACAGTCATTATGAATCCCATAATCTTGCCGTTGATTGCCCAGTATGTACTACGTCAGTCTACATTTGAATTAAGAGTTGTCTTTCCCTAAAACTATTTAACCCATAGCTGAAGATAGAAGAGATGGATTCATACTTTCCCCAGGTATTTGCGCGAATGTGATTATAACGAACTCGACTGGAATTCGAACTCTTCTGTCCGATTTCTTGTTCTAAACTTCTAACGATTACACCACCTGCATATCCACAATCGAACTTATCCGTAATAAATTCCAGTCCGTGATCCCCAGCGAAATAAAAGAATTCTAGTCGATATTTACATAATTACATCGTTTCCAAGTCAAACAGTTGCTCTTAATTGTCAAGATTTTACATTCTCAGCTGACATGAAGGGAAAGTCTATATTGAATCAATTGCTAGGTCAGCTCCTAAGAAAATTAGTTCCCTGTGTCGTGTGAGACAATTTTTCTTTCCAGAATCTATCTTACATATCTATAAGTTTGCCATCCGTCCATGCTTAGTATATTGCTGCCACATATAGTCCGGTGACCCTGTTATTTACCTTGCGCTCCTTGATAACATTCATAGAAGAATCAGCAATATTATCGATCCTGATCTGGCGACTCTGCCTCAGTTACTTTTTCACTGATGTCAGGTTGTGTCTTTTCTATGAATACTTTCATGCTAAATGTTCGGATGAGCTCTTCGCTATGGTACCTAGACAGTTTGAATTTAAGCGCAGTATTAGACTGGTGCCGAGATCTCATCAAGTTGTAGTTGAGCTGGCTAGATGCAGCCGTAAATTCTATGCTAGCAGTTTATTTTCTTGCACTTCTCACTTGTGGAATTCCCTTCCGGCTCCATGCTTTCCAACAAACTTTAATTTGCAAAAGTTTAAATGCAATGGCAATTCCTATCTAATGTCCTCCTGATTACTCTTCCCTCTTCCCGCTCATTATTAGTGTTTCTGTTCCTAATTCTTCCACACCCTGAGACTTCGTGTGTCTTAGTGACTTTACTGCTTTGCATGAGGCGATACCGATTAAAAAATGGATGTAAAAATCAACTTGACTATATGTGTGTGTGTGTATGTATGTATGTATGTATGTATGTATGTGTTGATGTCGATAAATCAAATAAATAGTTATTAGCAACCGTATATATTTGCGTTAGCGTGCATACACTGGTAAGCGAATAAATATTTACTCAATTTAATTTAAGGTGTAAACCAAACAGTTTCCAATGTGGTTAGACAAACCTAAGAAATATGTCTATCTATAAAAGGCAGGGGGTGTGTGTGTGTGTGTGTGTGTGTGTGTGTGTGTGTGTGTGTGTGTGTGTGTGTGTGTGTGTAACGAATGCACGGCCGCAATTTTCGACGGATTTGCACCAAAATTTACATGCACATGCTCCAAGTTAGCGGGAAGACCAAGACCGACTTTGCATTTCCCAACTCCCATCGATAGTGGTAATAATCGATTTTTTCATGCTTCTACGGCAGTTTTCATGTAGTTTGCAGCCATTTTCTACTGGCCAGAGTGAGGGCCTATAGCTGGCTGCCACGAATAGACAGGAAGATTCTATTGGCCAGCGTGAGAGCCAAAAGTTGTCTGACACGAATGTTAACTAGCATGCTAGCATGCAAAAAAAATCGATAGCTGCATTCGTCACAAGTGGGAAAAATTTAAATCTGCATGGCACTTTACTCCAATTGGCTCATTCGCTTGCTTAAACTCAACGTTGATTCTGATTCCGCAGAACTGGGTTGGGTGTGAAAAAGTATTTGTTGTTAAGATTCTTTTTTCATTCGGTTTTTCCAGTTACGAGTCCTTTTTTTAAAGCTAATCGTTTTGTGCTCATTTTCTTTAGTTCTTTTTTTCGTAACAGATTTAATGTTTAGTATAGAGCTTAGAAAAAATTCGCAGTGTGAGATAGGCAAGAAGTAAGGCATGTAGCAACATCAGCACAGCAAAGGACACTCCTTTAAAGGCAAGGAAGGGCAAAAATATTTTAAGTCAAGTGATAGCGATTGCTGTATGAGTCGTACGATTTTTCAATCAAGCACGGGCAATGCCGGGCCATACTGCTAGTATATTCATAAATAGTCGTTCGAAGTGCAACTTAAGTTTTGTTGTTCTACTCATCCTCAAAACTATTAATGATCGAAATCTACTTAATAAACGAAATACACCTATGTTAGCTTGTAATAACAAAAAAAAATTCCAGTAAAATATTTTAATTCTGGATAAATATATTATCCAAATATCACATGCACTTCCCATATTTTAGGTTACATATTGATTACCGCCCACCTTAGCCATTTTAACGTCTGTTATTACTTAACGAGTTACCCGGCGTTCCTCTTTTAAACTTTTCAGAGTGCTTCTTTTTTTTTACAATAACCCCTACCCAAACTCTACATTCTGTATTTACATCCCAATATATTTAGTTTATTTTAAATTTGAGCTTTGAATTTGCGTTTAATTTAGTGTTCCTCCCATGAGATCCAGTATATTTTTTTAATTCAAAAGTAATAATTTGTGCCTGATGAGTTAGTAGAAACTAAAATTTCACTTTGAACGTATATATATATATATATATATATATATATATATATATATATATATATATATATATATATATATATATATATATATAATTTCTCTCTTTACTATCGCAGAAATATTCAATAAAACATGGTATCAGAGATGAAAGATGCCAAAAAAGAATATTGTTATTCTAATAACCACAAATTTTACAAGTATGCGAATAATCTGATGACGCTTAATATTGTGTTAAACAAAATTACACAAATCTCAAATAGCTGTAAATGCATATACACATTTATATTTAATCGACATAACAATTTTGTTAATCTTTTTATGTGCTATGTACCTACAAGACCTTCGGGATCATGGCTTTTTAAAGGCTTTCTATCCTTTGTAGTTCTGTTCCCTAACTATCCCTTCCAGTCTCTGTTCTATCATCGATTGAGCGAAACCTTGTCACTTAATGTTTTCCTCTCTCCATCCTGCTTTCAGTATGGTCTGTGCGTATCATATACTGCAAGCCTTCCTTCTTCATTATGGGCTCCGGAAGTTTCAGCTGTCTGATTCTAAGTACAATCTAAAAAATATACTCTAGCTTATACCATAAATTTCAAACTCCATATAAAATTGGCAGATAATCATTCTTGATACTTTTTAAGTGTTCGTTAAAAGAATTTGCTGTTAAGATAATGATCAAATGCTTAAAGTAATTGCTTCGATTAAGTATCGAACGTTGATTAAGAAATTGTTAAGATAGATAGATAGATAGATAGATAGATAGATAGATAGATAGATATGTTATATGATACGATTGAGACAGATAGGCATCGAAATTCTCCCTTACTCTCCATACAGTCAAGGCTTTGCTCCCTCTGACTTTAGGTTGTTCTCCAAACTAAAGGAAAACCTCGGGAGCAGTCGTTTAAAAGACATTGAGAAGAGGAAGGGGGTTGTAACAAGGGTCTAGGACACATCCGCTTTGGATAACTTCAATGGGGCCTTCCTGAAGTGGCTCTGAGCTCTACAAAAAGTGCATTGAAGACAGAGGATCCTATTTTGAAATAAATTAGAGTTATGTACTATAGGCTCCCTTGAAAAAGTCTCAAATGTCCTGGAATGCACCTCGTATAATATATTATAAGATGAGATATGATATGATTGAGATAGATAGATAGATAGATAGATAGATAGATAGATAGATAGATAGATAGATAGATAGATAGATAGATAGATGTAAGTAAATGGTTATTTCGGCGGATATGTACAGACAGAATTAAATTCCTAAAGTCACGCATATACTTACGTAGTTCTATGAATGAATGAAAGCCTCAGATATGTAAAGAGATTTAAACAAGTAAATGGATAATGCATCTTCTTTGTATTATTAGCCATCTATTCATTTCTATGTCCTGTCACATCCATTTTAACTGGCACAGAACCTATTTTTCAGCGAGGGGAAAAGACAGTTTCCCATGAATACCTTAATGCTTCTTCTTTGGTAATTTCTGACCTCTCTAATGCAGCAGGAAAGATGTACTTTTAACATGTCGCCTTACCAATGAATTTAGTGCACTGTGATATTGTACAACGGTGTGTGTGTGTTTTTTTTTTATGTTCGTCTTATCGTGAACCATATTTGTGCTTATATGCACAAATTAATTCTCAGACAAATGCATATTCATACTTCTGTATTTCGTGGATCATGTTGATATAAACAGAATTAGATTGAAAGCTCAGGTAAGTTCACTTTATTTATCTTTTTGAACAGTCTACAATACTCAAGTCGTGTTTGAATTTATTTTTTAAACTGGTTTGTTCTGTTGGCAAAATCGGATGGAAAATAGTGACAAGTTCAGGCTATTGCTACCAAGTTCGACTTTCCCTAAGTGCATCATTCGTGTAGCTAAAATGTAATATGAGATTCGCTGTTGTTTGATTCTAGAATTCTAAATCCATAAATGCTGGAAACGTAAGACAGAATTACCTAACAGAATTTTTAATATATCCATTTTAAAAAAAATATGTTATATTAAGATCTTTATTTCGAGGCTTATAGTTGACTTTAACATTTAACTTTATTCTACCAATTAAAACAAATCCATTTTCAGTAGGTCACCTGTCTGTTACGAATGCGTCTATATTGACAGATTCATTTTTTTGCAACTCATCAACTTTTTTCAGTTTTAAATAACCAGAAAATATTTCAGATATTTCAGCCTTAAATAAGCCAGAAAATATTTTTAGATTGTAAAAGTTTTTTGGGTAATAATAATAATTTACTGATATAAATCTTACTAATTAACAAATAGCTGGGGAGTAGAGATGGATTCATACCTTTCCCAAATGCATTTGCACGTAAGTGACTATAACGAACTCGGCTGGATTTGGAAATCCGCTCTCCAATTTGAAATTCCATAATCGTTGCCCATTACACCACCACTCATCCAAGCTTACAGCACTTGATATTTCCAAGCGGTCACCCATATAGGTACAAACAAGTACCGACACTGCTTAACTTCGGTGATCGTACGAGAACCGGTGTTTCAACGCGCTATGGCCGTAAGTGTATGTGTGCGGATATCTGGAATCATTAATTTTACAAATTTTGGGTCCAGAATCTCGTAACTTGACATATTTATTAACTAAATGTTGATCTAAAATTTTCACCATATAATGTTCTATCTATCTGATAGGTATGTGTGTGTGAGAGAAAGTAATGTTATCGGCACGAAACGTAGTATCATTCGCACAAATTCCCCTGAGAAGAGCATAATTCCTTCTTTTCTCCATTCACCTACATAGCAGGATAAACTGGACTTTCTAGCCTTGGCTGGAAACCAGTCTAATATAAGGAAACTCCGAATTTCAAGCCCTAGAGAAGAAAACAGGAAAGAACTCCATTATCTTTCTCAAAAAGGTATGTCAATTCCCAGATAATAAAGTAAATGAATCTATAGAGTGCCATGATCGCCTTTGTCCTGAAAAGATATGACATTTTCAAATGTGATTAATATTCACCGCTGAATACACAATTATATATGTGTATTCGACATCATATTGACTTAGCGTTATGAAACTCTTTCCTCCCGTAAAAATTTTTGTACTTCGTTCCTAACTTGTCAAAATATTTACTGTGTCGAGTAAACTCTTTTATTATCACTAGGTTTGGTGTACCCACGTAAAAGTATTCATTTTCACCTAGGCCTGTATTACGGCGAAATTGCGTCATAGTTCGCTCGACTTCTGGAAAAGACCATGATTTAAAATGTCAGCTTTAACTTTAACAGATCCTTGCCTATTATGAATCACTTTCTTGATCTGCATAGTTAAAATGGCATCTTCGTTATGGGTTTTGGTGTCTGCCTCTTTGATTTAAATCTGCCAGATGAAAACTAGACTTTATCGCACAATAAATTTGTCTAAAGATCGCAGAATGATGGCTCGTTTGAAAGGTTGGATCTATAAAGGATGGATTTCAAATCAAGATTTTAATTTTACACAATATTTTAGTTATTTCATTTCGAAATTATAAACTCCCCTGCTCTCGATTGAAATTGATCTCAACGGCTTAGGTTTAATCTTGGAGAGTTTCTTGCACTGAATTTTAATTTCATTCACATCCTTTAACCGCCCATATTCTATGGAACATGTGTTTCTACCGAGGTACTATGCATTTCTTTTCCCCCAACAGACTGTCTAAATGCTTAATGGGCTTTCTTGGTTCATGTCTAGAAATATCCATCTGTGTTGCAATGATCGATGAGTTATAAAACATGAGAAATTCCTTTTACAAGACAAAACAACCAAGAACAGAAACATCTCTTGACAACGGTTTGACAAGTTCAGCGCCAAGCTGTCTTGAAAACGCTCTGTTGCATTTTTGACTCTGTTGGCCCTCTTCAGGCAAAAAAAAATCATATCGTTCGCCGAAGACATTTTGGTGAAACAACTCAAATATTATCAACTAAAGTGTATTGATGTTTTGAAAGCATGTCAATAAATATGAATGATACACAATTTCGCTTTGTTTTGTGCTAGATATGGATGATTTTCTTTTTGTTTTGTGTTAGATATAGATATTTGTGACTCAATAGTCAGAATTCCGAAGTTAATATGATACCTATTTATAAATATAAATCCAGAGATATATAAGTTCAAAGGTATTAATCCACCTCTTATCGCCCCAACTTTGGCTTAATTAGTAACGACATATCAATAAATCATTATTATCACAAAAATAAATTATTACAATTTAAAATATTTTCTGGTTTTAAATAACCTGCAATGTGTTGATAAGCCGTAAAAACGAATCAATCAATCAAATTCACAGGTGATTACAGTGTTGTATTTCCTAATAGCTTAATATAAATTTTTAACAGTCGATGATTCTGTAGAGATATGAGAAATCAATAATTAGCGGATCAGAAGTGTATTATTAAATTATTACGTAACACCGGTTGGTCCAGAAAAAAACGAATAATACATCATTTTTCTCTTATCAAGTACAGCGGTAAATTGTTGGTATATATGTAATTATATGTCTATATGGTTTCGTGCAGAAATTCATACTGAATTTAACTCAGATATCTGTAATCGACAAATGTCCTAGTTCAGATTGGTTTCAAATGCTGAGTTTCATGACAGGTATGCCATCCCTTAACGTCTGAACGATAGATGCTAAACTATCTTCCAAAGTAGAGAATATTTTGATGGAGATTATTTTTGTGAGTATGTCTGTATGAATTTTAGTCACTTTCCTCTAAATGCTTGCAGTCGCCATTTCAATTTAGAAACAAAAAAAAAATAACCACGACGACCGACGCTGGACTGAAACAAAATGGAAAATAAAACCATATTTGTTTGAATGAAGAAATACATTTTACTTGTTCTAATCTAGAAATGTCTTTATCAATTAATCTGTTCAGTTCTGTATCTATTAAAATCCATAAAAGCAATATAAGCAAATATTAAAAAATTCGACATCATAAAAACTAGGGGTTCTCTTTTCTCCTACGTAACTTTTTGTTCTGGGTTGTCGTATTCTTTTAGAAGAATATAGTATAAAATGTATGGATACTATAGAATATATAACAGGTAAGTACTATTCGTTTAAACCTTTTCACCGCAAACAAAGCAACAAAGCCACTAACGCGCAGGGAGTGGTTAGTGAATGTGAAAAAATATAAGAAAAACATTATTAAGGAGCGAGAACAATAAAAGGACAAAAATTAAGAGAACAGAAGATAACGATTGACATTGCATTTAAATTTTTGAAGATCAAAGTAGACTGGAAAGCAAGAAGCTGGAAGAGAGTCCAACACGTGAGAAGTGCGAAAAAAGAAACTGTCAGCATAGAACTTACGGTTACATCTAGCCATTTCAACTGTAAAATGCCGCCATGCATGTACTTCGCTTAAATTCATAACATCTCGGTACTATAGATAAGAGTTCATTAGAACAATTACCATGAAAATAGTTATAAAAAAGGCACAGCAAAGCTACATTACGACAGTGGGAAAGTTAGTGAAAGCGAGGTACTACGTCAGGGCCAATGACATTGCAGATTCTTTTTCAATGATTTCTAAATATATAACAGGACCACTAGACCATATGTGAAAGTAGTATTCTAAGTATGAACAAATGACAGGCATGAAGCAACAAAAATGTAAGATAGATTCTGGTAAGAAAATTTGTCTAACACGAAACAGAGAATTTGCTTATAAATTTATTTAATCTCTTCTTATAATTTAATTGAGAAATGTCACTGCAGAAAACTGGGATTTGAAATTGAGTTTTAAACAAATAGCGGGAGGTCACGAACTTTGTATTTCATATGCACTTTCAAACAGTTTGTACCTTTGTGCTGTAACTCGTGTCACACTTTCGACTCGAGGAACGCTGAACATTCGCTGGGCATGGGATGAGGGTAGGAGGAATATAGAAAGCAAATTGTCTTTTTCTGCCGAGGAGAAACGTAGAAGGTTTACAAAATTCTAATCATGAAACAGAGGCGAAATGCCTAAAGCGTGAGAGACTTTGTCGTATACCCACTGAACTTCTCTTGCTTGCACACTGGAGCAGTGATAGGATCAAAGAGGTTCGCAGCGGTTTGCACGAACCGTTTACTGCAGTTACAGAAGTTCACAGAACCGCTTCTTAAATTCTCTTGGCCTTTATATCCATCGACAAAAAAATTAGGGATGTAAAAAAAGAAATTACTGGTTCCTAATTTCAAACGATATTTGGATGCAAAAGAAGAGCGAATCCGCTATTAAAAAAAAAAAACGAATACTACCACTGAGCAAGATTTAGTGTGCTGTTGTTTTAGAAACCCGGATATAGATGAAATGAAAACGTCTGTATTAGAGGTGCAGATTATATTCTGAACCAATGACCAGTTTTTTGTTGCCTATTTCTTATTATATTGGACATAAAATCGTTTGCGTTTTATTGTACCTTACGAAATAGCTGTAAAATGTTAAGATATATATTTATGGTAGAGCTTGTTCTTATTTACTTTAAAAAGAACTGACTAAAGATCGATATTGTTCGATCCTCACTGGGTACCCCATACATATGTCTTTGTGCGAAACCAATCGAAGATTAGTAAAATGACTAGTGACCTAAAATGATTTGGTCCATCAATTCAAATTCAAAACAACATTTATTTAAAGCACTTTAATTTATTCGAATTGTTCCCATCTTGATTATGACAGATATAATTATAGACACAACGTTTCGGCCCAAATCCTACTGGCCATCACCAGGTGTCTCTTGTTTGGCTGATATGGGGCATCTATTGATTATTATGTTGTTTTGTCCTTGTGCTTCTTCTTTATGTGCCGCGTTGCCTCAGAACGTATGCGATCATGGCTTTCCACAACTTCCTGTCCTTTGTAGCTTTTAATAAGTTTTTTTTTTATATTTCTCCTAAACTCTGTCCCGTCAGCCATTTAGTCAAGCTCATTAAGTATATTATGCGTTATATTCTTCTGTGCCTCTTGCCTTCAATCTGTCGTGTGAATATCAGATTTTTCACACACCCTTTCCTCATTATGCGCCATAGAAATTTCAACTGTCTCTTCCTGATGTTAATTATGCTTCCTTTTTGTTTCCATTTTCTCTAAAAGTTCGTCGTTGCTCACATAATCATTCCATAGTATCCTCAGCATCCTTCTGTGGATCCACGTTTTTGTTGCTTCAAGTCTTCTTGATCTTTGAGGCGATTATTCAACACTCACTAACATAGAGGAGGATGGATATCACGTAACAATTTAGTACTCTTTTCCTTGTTTCTAGCGAAGTTTTTCTATCTCTTAATACTCTGCTTAGCTTTTGGAATGCATCTTTGGCTATCCCAATGCACCTTCGGATTTCTGTGTCACACTTTCCGTCCTCTGTTTAAACACTTCCTAGATATTTAAATTTTTGCACTTATTTGATTCTAACTCCAATTGGGCTCATCTTTTTGTTAACAACCGTGCATTTTGTCTTCATACATTTGATCTAAGATCCTTTCTTCTCGCTTTCCTTTACCACCTTCTGTAAGAGGTTTTGTAGGTT